TATCCAATAAACATACAATCAGAAGTTTTAGAACCTATTTTCCTTTTCTTAGGTTCAGGCAACAAGACTTTAGCAAGACACCCCCAAACTTTTAAATATTTCAAATTTGGTTTATAATTTTTCCATAACTCATAAGGTGTTTTGCCAGTCTTTTTATGTGGGATTCTATTTTGTAAGTGACATGCAGATAATATAGCTTCTCCCCATAAATTATCTGGATCATGAGAACTAATTAACATAGAGTTCATCATTTCTTTTAACGTTCTATTTTTCCTTTCAACTACTCCATTAGATTCTGGTGAATAAGGTGGAGTTATTTCATGTATTATGCCTTCCTGTTCACAAAGGTTATCTAAAGTTAAATATTCTTCACCCCTATCTGATCTAATTCTTTTTATCCTTTTATTAAGTTGATTTTCTACTTCAGACTTATAGGATAAAAAGGCATTATAAGTATCATCTTTATTTCTAAGTAAATAAACTTTGGTATATCTAGAATAGTCATCTATAAATGTGACATAATACCTTTTCCCACCTCTAGTCATTGTTTGTTTTAAATCACCTAAATCAGTATGAATTAAATTTAATAATTCAGTTTCTCTATGGACAGTTATACAACTTTTCTTTGTTATTTTAGCTTCTGCACATATTTCACATTTGTCCATATTATCATTAATACCAGAAATTAGACCACATGATTGCATTTTCTTTATATAACCAATATTAACATGTCCCAATCTAGCATGTCATAAAGAAATGGAATCAACAATATAAGCAGAAGAAGATGCATTTTCATTGATCACATTGGAAATATTAAGTACAAAAAGTCCCTGATTACAATAGTCTTTCCTTACAAACACATTATTTCTTGTCATTACAATCTTTTCAGATTCGAATGACACTTTCACCCCAACTTTTCCAAGCAAAGCCACAGAAACAAGATTTGCCCGAATATTTGGAACATGCAGCACATCATTAAGAGCCAAAGTATTTCCTGAAGTGAGTTTCAATAGTACTTTGCCCTTACCCAGAACTTTAGCAGTTCGTGAGTCTGCAAGGTAGACTATTTTTTCATCATCCCCTATTGAAGTATAGGAGGAAAACGCTTCTCGATTTGCACATATGTGCCGAGTAGCCCCAGAGTCTATCACCCATTCTTTAACATTAGCTGCAATGTTCACTTGAGAGATGACTGCAGCAATTATTTCATCTCCTTCGGTTAAATTAACCTTAGGAGGATTACCATTTGCTTTGTCACCTTTATTGTATCTATACAGGGCAGCCTAATGTTCTGATTTTCTACAATAATGGCAATTGCCTTTCTTTTTCTTAAAGTTGGGAATATTAGACTTGTAATTGGGATTTTTTTTTTTGGTCTATTATACTGGGACTTATTGGCTTGCACATAGCTACAATACACATCAAATAATTCATTTAAGGGTGTTTGTAAAATAGAGTGTCGACATACCTTATTGGCATATTGCCACGACTTTTGTATCTTGACATCTACAGTTGCAGCAGGTTGAGATTCTGTCAGTGCATAGGCCACTTCATGAATGTCGAGTAGAAAACGTAGTGCGACTGCAACTGATCCTGATGCAGGTTGCGAGGTGTTAACATTGTCAGATGCCATAGTTTCTTAGATTGTTGGATAAATGGCTACAACAATGTTAACACTATCTGCTTGAGTCGTGCGTAGCACTGTCCTAAGAAACTATTTCATGAAATTGAAATGTTTCCCCAGGATTAAACAAGCCTTCTTCTATTTATTGCGAACAAGAAAGACAAACTTTCTTCTTGTTGCAAACTAGAAGGACCAGAACTAGCAAATTAAAACCAGCAGATATATATATATATATATATATATATATATAAAAGATGAGAACAGAATTATCAGGAAGAAATCAACTAACAAAAAATAAAAGAGAGAGAGAGAGGGATAGAGCAGCTATCAAAAGATATTAACTGAAGCTGCTGGGGTGATTTTCTGTGAAAGGAATGGGTCCTATTTATAGACTTCAGAATGGGGTGCAACCCTTCTCACTTTCGATGTGGGACAAAGACTGCAACTCTTCTCACTTCTCAATGTGGGACAGAGAAAGCAATACTTCTCATTTTTCGATATGGGACAAAGAATATTTTGAAATACTATATATTTTACAACAACTTCTTGAATGCATAATGGTTAAGCTGATTCCGGCATACAATCAATTTCTTGAGCAGTTGAGCCGAGTTCACAAAGTGAAGAATCTGAATGGGTACATAATATATTCTGTCAAGGACTTGGAGACCAAGGTGCTAACTATGTTTCAGAATGAGTATTGAAGACCGAAGAGTTGGTTATTTATCCTTCAATTCTATTAGATGTCAATTTGAAAAAGTTATACGCACTAGCTATTGCAATGTAACTCTCTCCAAATGAAAATTACTTTCTCCAAATGAAAATTTGGAGAATCCTTAAATCGTGTGTACTGTGTAAGAATGAGGATCGTGGGTTAGAATGAGAATCCGCTATACGTCTTTATAGTAACAGAAGTCGCAAGGAAAGTTGAGGATACGAAGATGGTGCAGGAATTAGAGGAAAGTGTAGGGGAAGAAATGAAAAGAAAAGAAAAGGGCGGAAGCAAAGATAAATCAGATAAAAAGAAGCAAAACAAACAAAAGAGCTTGAAAGTAATGATATGAAGTTTAAGTATCCTTGAAGTTATATATTAATGTGTATATTGAAGAAAAATGAGTAGCTAGATTACATGAAAGTGAAGGAGAGAGTTTGTCAGGTGATTCAATACCCTACTCCTTTGAGTGAAGTACAGGAAACGCCTTTGAGTTAGGAATTTGAAGGCGCTGCTTCTGTGTCACATCTACTTCACGCGTTTGAGCGAGGCATCTACTCATAGCCGGAATCTAAAGGCCAAGCTTCTCTGAGCTTAAAAGTCATGCCCATACCAGGATGCTCCTGTATTTCTTAAGGTTCAGCAGTTTGCGTGCATAAAGATTTGCGTTAGTCCTGTACAGTTTTCCTGGGGGTAATCACGCTTTCCGTTGCTCTACTCCATTGTCTTCTTACTTTGCTTTGCTCTATTCCATCGTCTTCATTTCATGTGGTCAAAATGCCCTACCAGCATACCTTTTGGCGAGTACATTTTACGCTTTTAATGTTTATGACGGTACGTATTGTTACTTCGAAGATGCCTTATTATATTTTTTTTTTTACCAAGCAAGTTAAGACTTTTGTGGTAATAAACTAACCCGAATCCTTATTGGAACAGGTGATATCTTGGCATTGTCTCCCTGTGCTCTTATAATCACCTAAACAAAATACAAAATACGACTAAAAGAATTAAGTGATAAAGATAAAGAAACTTTATAGTCGCCTCTTATTTTTCCTCTTCTTCACATATAAAGTTAATCCTAGGTCCATACTAATCGATTTGGAATCCAGTGTTATGTTTAACTTAGTATAGCATTATTGTTAAATTTAAATCTATTTTTCAAATACAATGCTACATTAACAAACTTCCAAAAAAAAAATTTCAAATACAAAGCTGCGTCAACAAACTTCCAAAAAAATTATTTTTCAAATATAATGCTACATTAACACACACTAAAAATTCAACACTACATTAACACACTCCAAAAAAAAATCCTACTTTCCAAATGTAATGCTATATTTACACACTCCAAAAAAGGTATCTCAATAATACTTCATATACAATTTCAATACACTTGACAAAAACACACAAGAAATAAAAAATACTAAAATAAATTCTATCACCTCTTTTTTCTTCCACCCACCACCCATCCCCTCCTCTTTCCTCCACCGCCATCACTGTCCCTTGCTCCTCCCTCTTCCCTTCTCCTTTTTCTCTATTTTTTCCTTCTTCTTCCTCTACCTCCCTGCTTTTTCCTCCCTCTTCCTCTTCCTCTAGGACCTCCCTTCTTCTTTTTCTGCCTTATTCCTTCTCCTTTTCCTTATCATTCCATCCTTTTCCTTCTCCTGCAACCTCCTTCCCTTTCCCCCTCTCCTTCTCTCACTTGAGGGTCTACGAGAAAAGGAGGAAGGGGGGAGGAGAATTGGGGGAAAGGGAGGAGCGAAGAGAGGAGGGGATGAAGAAAGGGGAGAGGGGTTGCAAGAGAAAGGGGAAGGGATGGGATGAGCGCTGCCGGTGAAGGAAGGAGGAGAGAAAGAAAGGAAGGCAGAGAAATGAGATAAAGAGAGGGGGTTAAAAAAGAGGGTGGAAGGGATGGGAAGAGAGCTACGGAGAAGTAAAAAGGAGAGAGAGAAGGGAAGGAGAAGGAATGAGATGAAGGGAGGGGGATAAAAAAGAATGGGGAAGGGAGGGAAGGGAAGAAGGGAAGAGGGGTGAGAAGGAAGAGTGAAGAGGAGAAAGTAGGAGGATGAAGGGAGAAGAGAGGAGTGATGGTGCTGATAGAGGAGGGTAGAGGAAGGGATAGTTTTGGTATCGAAAATCAACGAACTTTTAAAAATATTCTAATAGAATTTTAAATTTTAAAAACATTCAAAAATATATCTACGGATACAATGATACAGTGTAATTTGTGAAAAATCGTCTTAAAAAACACTTCATCCATTCAAACTATTTTTTCTTTATTCCTAGGCCCAAGGGTAAGGTAATGGCAACCCAACAAGTAGAAAATTTATTTTAGCGTGCAATAAGTTCGTGGCATGTCTAATAGTTAGCCAGTCCTCGGGTTAGATTTCTTTTTTTTTTTTTTTAATGAAAATACTCCAAACAAGACCGTGAAAACTTATTTAGAGTTATCTTGACTGTCTAGTAAACATACATGCATACATTTAACAAAGGTTGTGGGGTGGTTATTTGTTCAAATTGACGGTTTCATATTAGTCAAAGACTAAACTGCTGGCTTGCAATGTTAATTTATTGGACCGTAATAAAATCTCTCTTTAGAGTCACAAGACGGTTTATTTTGAAGTAGTATGATAAGATTAGATCTTACATATCACCTGATAAAAGGACAACTTTATCACTTCGAACCAATTCTTGCTCTGAGGTACACTTATCACAAACGAAGCACTCAGTTACCAAGATTTTGGAACCAGACTTGAACAAGCCCACTGCTTCCAGTGATCATCTGTAACGGGAGGAACCAGACTTGAACAATTGTCGAGCCCGAAGAACTGCAGGTTGGCGGGCTAATGGAGAAACAGTTGTTTGGAGCCCTTTGTTTGTTGAGGCCCCAATTACCAAAATTTTGCAGTAAGTAAGGTTAGGGTTTTTTTTTTTTGAAGGAAACTGTAAGGTTAAGGTTGAGGGAGAGACTCACACATCATCCAATCGCATCTTAACAGGGCTGACATAACTCTACATTATTCTATTATCAAAAAAAAAAAACTCTACAGTATTCTAGAAGCAGAAAGTCGCACGTGTATCCTAACAACGTGAGCCAACACAAATACCCAATAGCAAACGCAGCCATATTCAGTATTTAATAACCGGAACCAAAGCAAATATCCAAAAAGCAACAGCAGGCAAATTCACTACTAAGTAATTCACAGTTCAGCGCTCAGCCGTGAAAGAATGGGAGTGGAGAAGCAAGTCGTAAGGCCCGGAGGGGGACCCAAACCCGTTCCCGGTCAGACCGTCGCCGTCCACTGTACCGGTTTCGGTAAGTGCCCTCCATTTCCAAACCCCCTCCCTCTCTCCCATTTGCACCTTTGCCTTTCACGCCGTTAAATTATTAGTGGCAGTCTGTTTCATATGATTACCGAAGAATACTTTTAATTTTCCTAATAATAAGAATATGTTGTGTATTTGCAGGAAAGAACCGTGATTTGTCTAAAAAATTCTGGAGGTAATGACGCATGTAAAAAATTATTTTAAAAATTTGTGATTTTTTTTTAGTACAATTATTTTCAGCATTACTTGCTTGTGATCTGAAATCCTTGTTAATTATAGCACCAAGGATCCAGGGCAGCAGCCGTTTGCTTTCCAGATTGGCCAGGGGAAAGTTATCAGAGGTAATATTAATCATTATTGTGCCCCGTCTGTTAATTCTTGTCTCAGAAAGAAATTTCCTTTGTAATGATATCCCATTGTCTGTGTTACCATTGTGGAGTAGCTTATAAAAATTGTTTTACTAAATTTTTGATAAAAAAGGAGGAATATTTAAGATATTCTGCTGAATATTGGTGAGGACTGGATAGGCAGATTAGATGACTTAGCTGATGTTAGAGTGTAGAGGTTAGGAAAATGTGCGGAGCCACAGGGACTGGTTTTAATGGTAAAGATGGAAGCTTTAAATCTCTAATAAAACCCAGCGAACATTTGAATTGACCGAAATTCCAAAAGGGATGTGAATTCGAATCCCTTACAGTGTAACTATCATTCTTAAGGATATTTTTCTTGAATTATTGTCCTTTTTCTTTTCTCTTCTTTTTATTGGGGAGCGGGATTGTAGTGCCTTTTCTCATAAAATCTATCAGTTTTCTAGGCTGGGGATGGGGAGTTCTTTATGTTGAGATTAGCTTTGTCACCCAAACAGATTTTAGTGTTTCTTCCTTGCCTGGCTGAAAGATTGCTCTGACACACCAATTTGGAATGATAAATTCATTCCATGTTGCGGCAATCTTCTGATTATTCCAAGTAATGTTGGTTGTCCTATATGACAGAAGAGTTGATGTCATCTATCTTAGGCACAATGTATTGAATTGCTTCATCCAAGAATTTTAGCTTTTTCCTTAGTTGCCTTGCTTGTTCTCTCCTATGCAGGATGGGATGAAGGTGTACTTGGAATGCAAGTGGGAGAAGTTGCGCGCTTAACGGTAAAATCATAGACCTGAGTTGTTTCTTGCTTAGCTTTTTACTAGTAAATAAATGTCATTTGCTAAGAACACCTTGTAAAAAAAAAAAGCAGCTATGAATGAGGATGTTATGATGTGTGTCTGGTAGAGCAAAGCTGAATATCTGGGATATTATAGTAAGACAAGAATAGAGAAAAAGGAGAAACCTTTTAAAAGACGGTTTTGTAGCCTCCAAGCTGACTACCAGATGCACCATTGCTAATATCTTCTGCTCATAATTTTGAGCTAATAGAGCCATTAGAAAGGCTGATCATGGAAGTGTTGAGAACGGTAGGTATCTTGGGAACGAATAACAGAAGAGGCTGTGGTACTGCTATCTTTGTGGGTTTGAGCCAATAAATTTGCTTTGGACAAAATAAGTAAATTTGTCCATTTATTGTTGGTTTTGGATGAGTGCCTTAGGATCTATAGGCTTCTAACATTCCATAATCTATCTCCCTGTCTCCAAATTAACTACGGTTTTGCAACAAAAGTAGCACCTAAGATCTCCTATTTAACGAGTGTTCACTAGGCATTTGTTAACCAAACATTTTCTCTTAAAACCATTTTAAATTGTTTTACCCAGTCTGAATTTCAATGCAGTATGGTGACTGTTTTTTCCTTGCATAAATTGTTCCAAATTTATGCAGTGTTCCCCCGACTATGGTTATGGTCCTAGTGGTTTCCCAGCATGGGGCATTGAGCCTAACTCTGTTCTGGTTTTCGAGATTGAAGTATTGGGTGTTCAGTAATTAGTGGCTCTGATGCTGCGGGTGGCCGATGGTAGACATCTGATGTAGAGTCCTTCAGCAGTGGGTGTTAGTTAATTATAGTTTGTATTTTTATCTGAATAAAAAGGCTTCGAGCTCTTCAGCCTGCCGCCCGATGTAGAATGCTTTAGCAGTGGGTGTTACTCTGTAACTGGTGCCGAAATTGCAGCCTCCTCTCCTCCCTCTCTCTCTCTCTCTCTCTCTCTCAGATTAAAAATGGATATTATGGTTTCCTAATCGCTTTATAGTAGTACTACAACGTTTTCATACGACTTTTGTTTTCCAGCTGTGAGCTCGGATCTAAATCATCTGTGGTAGTGGGTAAAAGTGGGTAAAAGGAACAATCTTCCATGATTGGTCAAAATACCTCAACATTTTGACATGATCGACGAAAATTATGAAAATCAGATTTTGATGCATGTCATGTGGTGTGCAACAATTTGAACCAAACCACTGATTATTTCATATTTTCAGCTAGAAGCATCTCCATTTTCAGGGAAATTTCGGTACTTTTTGCCCCGCAATCCGTATTCATTTGAAGTTGCAGCTCATTTAAAGCAACAAAACATAAATGGCTTTACATTTGGTTGGATTCCAAACGTTAACAATCATACCTGCAAGTGTTACCCGTGTACAAAGATGAGTCTACTCCTCGGCTTTCAACTTATTTATTAGGTTACAACTAGTGTTTGATGACTAACTATCATTTGTTAAATTGAGTAAGGGAGTAAAGTCTTTCATTCCATCAATCTTGAATGCTGTTTGGATTAGAGAAGGAAAAGGAAACCATTAGGTTGTAGTTATGCTTTTATCCATTTCAAAGCCAAATCTGTAAAAGGCAGGTTTTTATCTAAAGAGAATTTTAAATGTTTTATTAATCTTTTTGTTGGTTTCCTTTCTTTCCAATTTTGCTTACTTCTAGATCGAAAGCCAATCAAATAAAGATTAACAAGTTCTTACCCCTCTCTTGTCCTCCTTATTCTTTCCCTTCCCTCCTCAAATACTACTCCAAACATGACAAATCTTATTTCTCTATTTCTTTTCCTTTCCTTTCACTTTTATTCCCTCAAAACAAACAGAGCCTTTGTAAAACACCTTTAGTACAAACTCAAAATTAGTAACTTTGATGTTTTAAAAATAAGAAAATTAACTTAACCATTTTATCATAGATTTTAAACGAATATGTTGCAAAAATTCAAAATTACATAACGTATAAAAAGTTAAAAACACACTTAATAAGCGTGCGCCTAAACAATTGAATTAAGCAGCTAAAAACTTCCAATGAACGACAAGTGCCAATAGATGAGACAAAGTAGAAGCAGGAAAGGGGTAAAACCGTCCTAAAATTTCTTATGCACTATCACTATATATTCCAGTTCCCCCGTTCTTCCCCCACTCAGACAAATTTTCTCCGGCGTTCCGCTCAACTGTTCACTTCATGTTCTTTCTCTCCACTCAAGCGCTCTCTATCTGGCGGGCACGATCCATTTGTTCTTTTGGATCTTTCCTTGTGTAAGTCCTTTTTCCAACTGTATTAACCTTTTTTACTGGTCGGATTTTCCACCGGTTCATTTTTGTCTTGTTTAATCCTTAAATCCTGAATTCTTGATCAGTATCCTGAATTCTTGATCGGTCAATTCATAAAGTCCTCGTCTTTTTATTTATTTTTTTGGGTCTTTTGTCCGAAAAAAAGTAATTCTTGTCCATAAGTCCGAAGTACGTTTGCTTAGCCAGCTTTTCTTAGTACATGAGTGAAATGCTTGTAGGCTTAACAATAAAGATGGGATTTTTATTTTTTTTCTTTTATCGAAGTGTCTCTGGTCGATCTTTTCTCCTTATGTCCTACGATTAATTATGAATTGAAAGTTCAATGATTTCATGGGTTATGTTTCTTTCCTCGATTACTAAGTTCACTGTTACTTACCTGAGTTCTTTGAGCTGTTTCATGGAAATAAAGAAATTAAATAGTGCCATGTAGGCTAAATTTCTTTTTTCTTTTTCTTTTTCTTGTTCCCTTTCCTTTTCCTAGTTTTTCTAATTCTTCAGCGTTATACTTCATTTTCATGCACATAAATAGGGAAATTCAACTTCCAATGCCATATTAGTTAATGTTCTTTCTTGCTTATATGTGAAAGGCATGCGTACTAGTCTGAGGATCATAAGAATCCATTATGTTTATCCCACTCTACTTGAATACTGCTGTTCTTATGTTTGTTGATCATTTATATATTGCAGGTAACGGGCATGTCGCACTACTGCTGAGGCTATATTGATCTCACCTATAAGTGAACAATATGCGGTGGATTAGTTTGTCCATTGATGTGTTTCGTCAAGTTATCTCCTTGAATTTGTGTTGTAGGGTTATTCTGTAAATGATCCCAGTTGTCTTTATTAAACCATAATTACCTCTTGATTCTTTTGATCTCGTTTAACAAGATTTCAATGGGGTCCAATCACTTCTCTTTCATTGCTTGTTATATCTATATGATCAGCTGAGAATTATTTATGGTCTTAAGCAGTTTTAAGTTCATTCCTCTGACACCTCGTCTCTTGCCAGTACATCTTGTAGTTCCTTCAGATTTGGTACACTCCTCGTTTTCTTATCTTTTCTTTTTGCTTTGGTCCTATCTTTTGTTCTAGATTTCTATTTCTATTGTCGTAGTCTTGTGTAGATTTTGAAACTGATTCAAGGTGCAAAAGAAGTTATGGTGTGCCAAGCAGCAAGCCAGACAAGATTCCGGGCTTTAAAACATGAAAATGGCATAGCAGGGACACCAACCATTGTAGTTAGGGTGATAGCATGCTTTCAACCTTTGCAAAATTGTCAGGTTGGTTCAAGATTGTGTTAGGGTGCTTGCTAACGCTTTTCAAGTTGTAGTCTCTTTACCCTTTATGTTTTCTCTTTGGATTTGTGTTTTCTTAATGTGGCAGGTTTTTCTCTGTACTTGATAATGATGGAGAAGTTACTAAATCCTACTTGTTTCCTTTTGGATTTCTGTAGGCTGAGTACTTCCGTCACTTGCTTAAACCAGTTACGTAGATTGATATTACTTTTTCAATAGTACGTGAGGCTGGAGTTTGAATATTTTGATTCATTATTTTGGTTTCTAAAAGTGTGGACGTTGAAGATTCATTACAATCAGTTTTCTGGTATGGTTTTTGACATCTTGCTGCTGTTCATCTCCATTGCCATTTATTGCTTGGAATTTTCTAAAATCTGGCAATTTTATGTCTCAGATTATTGAATTAGCTGGATGTTTACAGCCTACGATTTTCAGCATTCTCAGCACCATTATCTGTGGAATTCTCCTCGCTCAAATGACAGTACTGCAGTTCCAGATACAGGGACTTCAGCTTTTGGGCTTCTTCATTTTAAAACGGGCCAACTTGATGGAGGTCGGGGACCTTTCCAATGGTTGCCTCCTCAAAAGGAGAGCTCGTCTCCCACAGCAGCTCCACATTTTGAAGAATCTCAACGTGCTTTTGGTCATGGACATGGTGTCGAACCTACATTCAAGGATGTATCTGCATCCGCTCATAAGAAGTTTCTCATTTTTGATCAATCTGGGGATCAAGTTAGATTGATCTCGAGATCTTTTCGTTCACCTTACCAAGATCAGATTATCATGCCCATGACACCAGTTGATTTTCACGATTTGCAAGGTGAAGCAGGACAATCACAGATAATGAAGCCTCCTCCGCATACTGAGCACCATGTAAAGAGTGAAGGAGGTGACATGCGTGAGGACACAGAAGAAATCAATGCGTTGCTCTACTCTGATAGCTTCCCTGGGAATGATGATGATGTTGATGGTGAAGATGATGACCTGACTAGCACCGGGCATTCACCTTTTACAATCATAGGTGGCATCGAGATGCATGAGAAGGTTTGGGAACTTACTGAGGAAGTTGGTAGCACTGATGGTTCAACTAAAAGGCATAAATTGCTTGATGGTGGTTACAAGAAATCATCGTTAGTGGACACTGCAGATCCATTGAAATTGGCTAAATTTTGCAATGATGATAACCATGTGGAGACAAATTGTGCCAAAGGTGGGGACCTCAATGAGGAGATGGACTCCAATATCAACACAACGCAAAAGCGGGCCAAAATTTGCAAGACGTTGAGAATTCTTGAAAGTATAGTTCCTGGAGCAGAGAATAAAGATCCAATCTTGATCATTGATGATGCAATAAATTACTTGATATCATTGAGGGAGAAAGCTGAAGCTTTGGAGCTTGGCCTCCCTGAAGTGCAGTGCTCCCGTCAACAGTAGTACATTTCGGGTGCTTTTTTACTGAGGCAGTACGATCAAGGGATAAGTTGATCTTGTCTTTTTTGACTGAAAGTGATGGATAGGTGGTTTTTGCTGTGTGAAGCTTTTGTGATCTTGTTAAAGCTATAGTGCAGTTTGCTTTAAAAGCCAATAGAGGAAAAGCTTAATGAGGTGTGAAAATTTTATCTTTGCTTACAGGAGGTGAAGAAAACTGGGGCTATAATTGCCGGGTAGAAATGATTGTTCATATGCTTTCGGGATTGAAAATAGCCAGAATTTTGAACGCATGGTCTAGGCAGAGAGGTGGGCTGTGCTGTAAATGAGGACCTCTTTTGCCAACATGTTGAAAACACAATGGATTAAGTGCACGCGCATTTGCTAATTTGGGTCCCACCTTCCACTCTTCACCTCCATCTTGTTTTCTTGATTCTAAGCTTTGTTATTTTTTTCCCCTTATGTGGCTTTCAAAGAAGCAGCTAAGATGTTGGGCTGAAGCAGCAATGAAGAGAGCTGAGAGTAGAAAGGGGGGCCCGGAAGATTCATCATGAATGTCTGATGCTCATCCATGACCAAATCTTGTCTTAAAAGGCTAGTGCTAGTATGTTTCTTTAGTGAGCTGTGCAGAGGATTTGTGCTTTGCTGCAAAGAAGAGTCTCCTGTAGGCCGTCTTCATGAGCACGTGGGCATCAATCTTTAATGCAGGATTTTATTTGTATGTTTGGTCGAGTACAACAATTGTTTTGGGTGGATATTGCAATGTAATCCTGGTTATGTACTGCCTATCTGTTTGGATTATGACTTTTGGCCGCTGCCTGTTGTTTGTTATTATTATTTTTCCCCTTTGACAGCAGTGCTTTTCGGTCTTGCTATGCTATAATTCAACTTAAATTGATATTTCCAACATTAACCCACTGCTAAACTGTGCTGTATTTGATTTGATTGCTACATTAGAGAGGATAACCAAATCAAAGGACCCTTGCTGCTGTGGGAGGAGTTGGACGACATTTTTCTGGACTGCGTGATTTCCATTGAAGAGAGAAGACTTGCGAGTGTGTGTATGTAGGGGAGGGTACAAATAGTTGTCAAAATGAGAGAGTTGAACCTTGAGAAGGAAAAGGGAAATCCAACGGTTTATAAGGAATTCGTAGTCGAAAATTTTCCCTACGAAGGAGGGTTGTGGGGAAATCAGAGTCGAAGCCCATCAAGAGAAGAGAAGAGAAGAGCACGGCCGTTCTTTCTCTTTTTCAGTTCTCGCTGCAAAGAATTGTACTTACCGTTCTATAGAGTTAGAGCACGGCCGTGCTACTACCAACCTAATGAGGTAGCCAGCCAAGCATGGTAAAGAAGCATTCTTTTGTCAATTGTTACTTCTACCTTTTAATTAGAGTATTTGCATTTTACCAACTTTACAGTAGTATCTCCACAAGGGTGAAGGGGCCAAAAAAAGAAGAAGTGATTTTATTCACTTTTTTGGGTTTTCCATAATTGTCCACGCACATGATTAGTTGATCGCTGTGCTTCCAATGCAGATTCGGCCCGGCTAAAAGCCAGAGAACAGCATCCAAATGGATAGCCGTTGGGGCCCAAAGGAGCTACCAAAAACCCCCAAAGAAAACGAGGGTCGAAGTTGTCTATAAGGTAGTTTGATTGGTTCTACTCGTCTTGTCCTTTGGTCTCTTCACTTGAGTTGGGATATTCAATGCTTGCTGATTTATGAAAAAGAAAACCGGAGGAATATTTACAAATTTCAGATTGATTACTCAGCCAGATAACTCATTTATCTTTCTCGTATTGTTTGGTTTACTATACAGGATTTTGTGTCTTCAGCAAATTCTTAGTGCCAAGGCATGTGCTGATTCGTATTAAAAGTCAAAGTAACAAGTATCTGTAAGCGTAAGATCCATTCATATGGATATGTCCATGCTTAATTTAGTGAATGGTAATTGATATTCTGCGTGCTGACTTCGGCATTACGGTAGGACTGTCTCCAATATATTAGTTTCTTGGATACTGTATGATACCCTAACAACTTTGTCTGGCTTTGAACTATTCTCATGATATACAATTAGTGTTCCATTGATATTCAGGAAGGGTAGGAAGAAACAAAACACTAAGCTGATGAATTGTTCCTTCTCTGCAATTTTGTGTGCAAGATCGAATACTTGGTCTTATGGAAAAACTGGACAACAACTATGACAACCTACATGGAGAGAGAGAGAGAGAGAGATAATGCCCCTGATAATCCTTTTTCCAATCCATCCAGGTCCCAGTGTATGCTTGCCCAATTGCTTATATGCTCCACATCAATGGAATGAAAGATACAAATTGAACCTGAGAATTTTCAAGACCTTTTCAGCCTGAACTTTTTCTTGATACATCCAAAGTCGATTCATTGAAAACATGTAATGTGCTTTTGCGGGAAAAATGATAAAGATGTTCCACTCGTGCAACTAAATCATAATGCAGAACACACTCAAACAAACATGGCAATTGCACCACAACCACTCACCCAAAGACAGAAGGATCAAATGTGAAAGTTCCTAAGATAATTCCTGTGAAGAAGAAGGGAACCTTTGGAGTACTCCTAATAAGAGGAAAAAAAAGAAAGACGACTACAGCTATAGGAATACAAAAATGAAATATAGGGGGATCAAGTTTATCAGGAAATATCTTACTTCTTCACTTCCTTAGTTCTCAAGAAACGGAATTTCTCCACCTTCTAGGTGCCTTTTTAGGTTGTTCTGGATTCGAAATCTGGGGTCCATCATCATGGTTTTCCAAATTTGACATCTTGGTGAGCTTGCCTAGCTTTTTCCACCCTGAGGTCCATGCGAAAGTTTGCTTTGGCTTAGCCATCTTATCGAACTGTCTCTGTAAGGTTTCAAAGTCGTTTTGGAGTTCCAAGTACTTAGCCTTGACTGTTTCAAGCTCAAACTTGAGAGTGTTGATGTCCTTCTTGGCAGTTGCCCATCCTTCTTGAAATGACTGTGGCGTCCCTTCAAGCAATGTCTTACGGGTTGACACCATTGGCTGGTAGTGGGATTCTCCAGCTTCCTTGAGGGAGCTACTAGCTATTGCATTGCTTATCTTCACCTGTTCAGAGAAGAGAACTTGCACTACTACTCTTAGAGGAAGCCGTTCATTCTGAGCAGCATGCATGCATGCATCAATTGAGAGCTTCTGGCAATCCATTACACGGCAAAGCCTCTTCCTTTCATGCTCTGATAGTGTTGGATGGGCCTATCAATGCTTCAATGCGTTAGATTCCAAGTAAACTAACTATTTGGATGAGCTTCATTATATGCAATATTTGAAACAAATATATGTAAACGGCATATTGAGCATTATTATGAAGGCACATAGTGACTCGTTCATAACTTCTAATTTTGTGTTGTAAGTTGTAAATTTTTTCATCTGAAATTCTTCTCTTTGATCTTCACAATGCATGATAAATATTGACGTTTGTTTTAACTTAGAATTTAAAGATTTTGCAACTATTCTCTGGCCCTGTCTTCCTTCTATACTTATCCATTTAACATAATTCTTAACGGATGCATGCTTTATAAAAAGACCATATTTGCTTGCGCATTGCACACAAATATTTTATTTTGAGGAGCTCGTCAGCTCGAGGACCAACCTGTTTTAACACCATATATTGGTGATGAACAGATCTCCTCACAGAAAATCAATGAATAATATAGTTACTTTAGAAAATCGCGGAAATTAAATTTCAATTACCTTCAGGTAGGAATCAACAGCTCTATATAGTCCATCATCACAGGTTCTTGCTGAATCAGGTAGAGCTTCTGCCAAGACCTGAAATTTCGTTAGGGAGAGATTTCTATCTCTGGACACCTCTGTTAGATAACTGTCAACCAGCCTTGCCACTCTCATCTTAGCATTTGGATTTGTACCCCTTTGGGGTGCTTCAGCAAATGATTGTCTGCTAGGACTTGAACTTTCTGTCTGCTCTTGGACAAGGAAATGCTCCAGTAGTCTTTGAACTAGATCAACATCGTATAAAGTTTCACTCTTGTTGTATGAAGGAATGAGAAGATCTGCCAATGTAGCCTGTTCAAACTGCATGCCTACCCTCTTTTCCAATTCAGTAACCAGAGCAGCAGCTACTTTCAACAAGTTTGCCATTCTCAACAGTCGAAGAAGGAAGCTACAGGAAACACTGTCCTTCTGGGGAGGTATTAAGCTAATAAGGCTCTCAATAATCATTCTTTGATCCTTAGCCTGAACAGTTGGTATATCTTCTTTTGTCCCAGCTACAATCATATGGAGCCCCCCTTTCCAACTTCTGTTTATGTCATTAGCGTGGCTGTAATTGCTTCCCTCATCAGCTGCTGCTGATCCCTCCGTTATTAGTCCTGGAAGCCATTTAGCTGCGTAATGCATTATTGCAGCTCCAATTAGTTCATGTCTCATCCCCTTTACCTTAATAGCAGTAATAACACGTACAAAGTGATCAATCCTGAGAATCGAAACATCTTCAAACCACCAATCAGGTGGCACTTGTTGGTTTCTGCTTGGACTGGAATCCTTCATTTCATTCCAACTAGGGCTAGATACTTTTGGGGGCCTCCCTGTATATTGCCATCTTATTCCTTTTGGATTAGCACAAGCTTTCCAAGCAATGGACTCGCTGCATCTTCTGACAATTTGAAGGTTCTCTGCCCATGGCGACAGCTTCTCACTATTTTTAAGTACTAGTATAGAATCTCTCCATGATGACAAAACCACGTAGCTGAGAAAAGCTTCTGTCTTGAATATTAGATTGCCTTCTTCTAAGTCCTCTGTCATTTCCAGGTACTCTGCTGCACATCTAAGGCCAGAGATATTGTTTGCTGTCAGATCAACAGCAATCCCATAGCAAAATTTTGCTGCAAGCTCAAAAGCCTCAGGTCCACCTGGGAGGTCATCTAAAACTATCTTGTTCAGGTCTTCCCGTGATTCATATATGATTCTGTTCAACTTGCCACTTCTAGAAAGCAGAGGATACTTGAGAGACGAGAGAAAGAATTAGTATATCATCTAACCCCAACCCTTTTACAACCGTTATTAGTAATTCTATGTACACAAGTTGAGAAATGAGAAAAATGTTAGAATAGGATGGCAGCTACCTTATGTAAATGGAAATTAACATCTCCAATTTGAACTAAAAAGTCACTTGGGATATCAGTTGCAACATACCTATTTACAGGACAAGCACACCAAACATTATAAGTAACTTGCTTTAACATCAATGATATTCCAAGAAAGAGATACGAGCTTCACCACAGAAAGTTTACGCTTTCAATTTATGCATCTTCTCCTAAAGATACTCACTCACTCGAGGGTTTCACAGGATGATTAACTTGAAGATGAAAATGCAAAAATAAAGATCCAAGCAATGCTGAACAAATCTCAGAGAAACATACCAAGACTGGCCTCTTTGCTCAAAACCATCGGTTTTAAGTCCATGCTTGCTTATGCTGAGAACTCCATTGCTGTAATCTCGCCCTCCTCCGGTCTCGCTTTCCGCGTCCCACATGGTGAGTTGAAGAAGCTCAGAAACTTCAGATTGAATTTTAGAGTTAAGTGCCTTACTTCAGATGAAGAGCAGAGAAAGTGAGATGAACAACAAAACAGAACAAGTAGCTAGAGAAGCTGCATCAATGAGCCAAAAAAGGTATCCCACATGGGGATGCTTGGAACTATCTCCAATTGTCGGCTTCTTCACTGATTTCCAAATGAGTCCTACAGGCTGGGTTGCGATGGGCTGACAACTAATGTTTTTGGAGCACTTGATTTCTTGATTTGATCTCTAATATATGGATATACTTTCTCCAAGTAGCCAGAGTGGGAGACTTTGAGGTTGTGTGCTCTCACTGATTTTTTAACATTTTTTGAGCTACTGTTTCAAGAGTTCTTTAATCGCCCCTTTTACAAACATTCAGGACTGTGCAGGGATTTTCTTTCAGCATCGAACTATTCTTCTGATTAGCAAGTATGATAGGGAATTTTGCATCTTGATGAAATTTGGAATTTGGATGTAATGCAACTAAATGGACCGGACCACCTTCGACCTCAGGGTAAATATATCTACGTAACCCAAAAAATATCTCAAAGAAATAACAAGTCTTTAAGCAAACTCTTTTTTAATTCTCGAGTCAGCCTTCCCTGTTTTTACGTTCGAAAGCTCCATTTATTCTTTTTGTTTCTTCGGGAAGTGTGGGGTATAATAATTTGATGAGCAATAGGCCGTACTATTCAAACTGATAATACGTTAGCAAGCTTTCATTTTCATGCCAATTATTACGATCTGAAGATTAGCAAGGCGCATCTATCTATGGTCAGATTGATGAAGTTTTGATCATTTTGATGTCTGGATTTTTTTTGACTAATGGAGAGTTATTAGTGTTAAGTTGCACCAACGCAGGAGAAATAGAGAGTCACCAAATAGGATGACGAAATATATAGCAGCGGTTATTGTCTTTCACCTTTGGAAGATTCAGCAGTGACAGCCGGGTGGATAAGGCTAAAAAGGAGTACTTGCAAAGCAAAAGAATTTGGCAGAATGCAACAAGGTGGAAAGGCTAGCTGCTCTCTTGCAGTTTTTGAGGATAAAGCAGAGGGCTTCTACAATCAATCTCTCCATCTCAAAAGAACTCAACCCCAAGTTCATAATGAAGAACGCAATATTCAAAAGTGAAAATACACCAGCAACTTTTTCATATAATTTTTAGAGTCGATACTTGTGATGGAACCCTTTGTATCCAATTATGAATAGAATTTCACATCCTTGAAAATTCCAAAATTCAACAACTTCAGCAATTTGCACTATCAAAACAAGTCTCATTTTCTCTTCACAAAAAGATTATAATGAACTATATACACAGATCCCTAGGGTTAGGGTTAATCGTGGCAAAATTCGTCTAGTCTCATCATCCGAAAAGAAAATGACGACTTGAT